ATTGGGGACACATAACCTCAAATTTGCTAAAGCAATTTTGTAACTATTTTGGGTAGTTTTCAAAGAAGTTTATTAAAGGGCCATGCGAGTACTGGCATCACCATAAAGCCAGAGACTCTCCGGACGCATGCAACGCGTAAATTGTAAATGTGAAACTTACAACATACACAATTACGTAATTTAAAATCCTGGAGTGTAAGCTGAATGGTTATGGATTTTTTCTTTACCTTGATGAGGTCAACGCCGCGCATGTATGTGCGGATATTTTGCGTTGCTCCAAGTACACGCAACGCCATCGTTTCTTATGATCGTTCAATAATTTATACACTTAAAATAACTAAAACTTCTGCGTTCCCGATGTCGCGGCGCCTGCTGAAAATTTCACACACAGAAGTTAAGGCGTTAAGTTGGCTGCGCACAAATCAGCTGTTCGCTGGTTAACAACACTGGTCACACTGTTTCAAGTTGGCAACGCGATAATTGCGGAGTTTTGGGCTATTTTCCTATTTTTTGCTGTTTTCGGCAATTAATTTATTTTTTTTTGTTAAAATACCTACAATTTAAGTTTACTGCCAAAAAATCTAAGCCAGCTTACTACAGTTACAGCAGTTCAGTTTATAATGGCCGGCAACTTCTGGCAAAGCTCGCACTCACAGCAATGGATACTCGACAAGCAGGATTTGCTGCGAGAACGCCAAAACGATTTGCTGGCGCTCAGCGAGGACGAGTATCAAAAGATATTTATATTCTTTGCCAATGTAATTCAAGTACTTGGAGAGCAACTGAAACTGCGGCAACAAGTTATTGCCACGGCAACTGTTTATTTCAAGCGCTTTTATGCGCGTAATTCATTAAAAAATATTGATCCTCTATTGCTTGCGCCCACCTGCATACTGCTAGCATCCAAAGTGGAGGAGTTTGGCGTCATTTCCAATTCGCGCCTCATCTCCATTTGCCAGTCCGCCATCAAGACCAAGTTCAGCTATGCCTACACGCAGGAGTTTCCCTATCGCACAAATCACATACTCGAGTGCGAGTTTTATTTACTGGAGAATCTTGACTGTTGCCTGATTGTGTTCCAGCCGTATCGGCCCTTGCTGCAGCTGGTGCAGGATATGGGTCAAGAGGATCAGTTGTTGACGCTTAGCTGGCGCATTGTTAACGACTCGTTGCGCACCGATGTCTGTCTTCTCTATCCGCCGTATCAGGTGAGCATAAAATGGCTCCCGATTGACACAATAAACAGCTTAATCCTCAAATACTTTTAGATCGCAATTGCCTGTCTGCAAATCGCCTGCGTCATAATGCAAAAGGATTCCACCAAGCAATGGTTCGCTGAGTTGAACGTGGATTTGGACAAGGTGCAGGAGATAGTGCGCGCTATTGTCAATTTGTATGAACTGTGGAAGGACTGGAAAGAGAAGGACGAAATTCAAATACTTCTGTCCAAGATACCCAAACCCAAGCCGCCGCCACAACGATGAAAAATACAACAAAATATTTATATTTAATTAATTGTATACTTTCTTAAGAATATATTTCCTAATTTATGTAATGCTCATCATAGATACTTCGCTTGACCGCTGGAGAACTTTGTGTTAAGTATCTTAGCCTTATTCACTATTTGCTTGGTTTGATTTTTGTCAATCTTGTTGAGCTTTAGGTCCACGTCACGGCTAAAGGGGCGCCGTTCGGGCTTGGAACCGCTGGCAGCCAGCTCCCTTTCCTGCAAACATAAAACAATTTTCGTAACAACACTTTAAGATCTTCATTGTTGATGAATTTTACCCGTTCACGCTGCTCCTTGCGCAGTTTTTTCTGATGCAAATCGACTAGAGACTCATCGCGTTTGTGTTTTTTTTTGTGTGTCTTAGCAATGCGCTCCTGCTCCTCGTCACGCTGTCGCTCATAGTTAACCAGCGCTGATTTCTCCAAATCCTTGGAGCTACATGGTTTTGGGCCAGCGGCGGCACTCTGCGGTGTCTTGGTCCAGCTGCTACGATCACTAAAATCCGGACGCTCTTTGCCCTGGTAGAATGTCCGCTTCATATTGTTTAGAGCTGCAAGACCGCTCTTCAGACCCACCTCGGGCAACTCCAGCATCCATTCTTCGCGTACATCTTGTTCCGCTGTAGAAGTGCCCATGGCGCCATCCAAGGCAGCTAGCTTTAAGGCCAAAGCGCGTTCTTCCAGCTGCACTTGTGTGGCATTTGGTATGGGTCCAAACGTACCCACCAGGTCATCAGTGGCATCTTCCTCGCCTTCAACTAAATCAGCTTGAGTTGTTGTTGGCTCCGGAAGTTGGCTAGGCATGACGGGTCCAATGATCGACGGCGATCGTGCCTGAGGTTCTATCTGGGGTCTGGTCAAATGTGGTGGAAGCGCAGGCCCAAAGGCATCTGCATTGTCAACCGCCTCCGGTATCTGTCTGGGTGGCACCACGGGCATTTGTTGGCGCAGTTGTTCTTGCTCAGGTGATTCGAGATACCTGCTGCGCTTCTTTTCCTTGTGGCGCTTTTCATGTTTGTGTTTTTTCAACTTCTTCCTCTTATCGGCATCATCCCTGTCTTGCTTTTTATGTTTTCGCTTTCGCCTGTGTTCTTCGGCGCTCGAGCTGCTGAAATCGCTTGTCATGGCTTCTGAAATTGGCAAAAATTGCTGGCAATGAAAACTCCGTGGCTTTACTTTTTTGATATTAACAACAGATTTTCTTTTGAGTTCAACACCTTTGAGGCTTATAAATTAATTAACAAAAACTGCACAAGAAGCATAACTTAGTCAATAATTGGCAGGAAGGATTAGCGGACCTATGGCAGATGCGAAAGTTACTTAAACGGCGAAAGTCTTCAGTGCCTTGCGATAGCTGTAGACCAAGGACTTGATTATGCCCGCAGTGGCTATATTTTTGAGCGATTGCGTGATGCTGCTGCGCCAGACAATGTCATTAACCGAGACCTGGACTATTTTGGAGGGCTGTGGTGCTGCCACCAGATATTCTACCACATCCGTGTAGTCACCGCGGCAAGCGGCATTGCGCTGCAGACGACCGCGCAGCTCCTTGGGTAAATGGCGGAGATGAAATCGCGTGGCATCGCGAGATTTATCTTGCTCAAAAATAATCGCTGGCTTTAGTGAACCCGGTTCCACGCCATGCATATTCACGGCCAAGTACTTTGACAGATGCCGCATGGCCGGCTGGTAAAGCGCAAAGAACTCAGAGAGTTGTGGCTGGACAATATTGTGCACCTTCTGCTTATTCTCGCCAAAAATCATGCGAAAGTCGCCCTTGTAGCTGAGTCCAGCAATGACAGTGAATAGCTCGTAGCTAGTAAATTTCTCGGGCAGCAGCAGCAGAGCGACCTGGCACGCTGACTGCAGGTTTCGTTCCAACGCACACTTAAGTCGTGTATTGTCGTCCAGATTAACGAGATCAGTAACGGGCTTTTGCAGGCGTCCAGCCAAATATAAGTGCCGCCAATGAAGCAAATCCTCAATTAAATGCTCCTCATGCACCACACCGTATTTGATGGTCACGCCAAGATCATGCAACGGGACAAGCGTGTTGAAATAAACCCGTGCGCCCAAGAGCTCTTGATACTGTGTCACAAAGTTTGCGCCTAGATAACGCAACGCCGAATAATGACTGGAATGCCGATGTATATTCTCCGCATGGAAGCCCACGGTATCACGTACGCAAAATACTAAATCGATGACATTTTTAGAGTCCGGCCTCTGGCTGATACATTCGTAGCCCACCTGCTGTTTTACGCCGGAGCCATAGGCAAACATGTAACTGACATTGCCCAGTGGAAAGCGAGCAACCGCGCGCCTGTACAAGTCCAGCATGACGGCCCGGTGTATGAATATTGGGCTGAGTTATGGATGGGGTAGCTTGGTGCAGTCTTAATAGATAACTTTATAATTACGTTTGGTTCTGGCGGCTTGCGCTGGTATTTCTTATTATCGAATTTGCATCGACGTAATTGTAGAGAATGCGGCACGACTAAATTTATGCGCGTCAAATTAGCGGCGGTGACTTAGCGTCGATTCTTGGTACTTGGTATCGGAAAAGGAATCGGTCACTTTTAAATGCATTTATTTATGTTTTTAAGCACAGAACCTAATACATTTAAATGTAGAATTGCAAACAATTAAATTATTTATTGTGTTCATTCATTTTTCTTTAATTTTAATTTACAATATGAGTAAGCCAAGGGGTTGAAATATTAGGTTACCAGTATTCCTAAAATATCCCAATTAAGATACACGACCAAAGGCTGTAGTTTCGCCTAACCAATCATGAAAACATATAAAAATCGTTTTTAAGATATTTGTACAACAGTGCAGCAATCTCGTTGCTAGCCCCATAAAAAATGACCGTACAAAATTAGCCTTGCAGTTGAACCCTAACATCTTTCTTAAGGGACAATGGCGCTCAATGCACGCAATACCAATTTAAAGATACATATTTTAGGAAGCATTACGCATTAATTCTAAACAAATCGATCAGCCAGTATTTCAGAAAACTAATGAAATGTAAACACACATTATGTTGTTTATTTTAAAATTCTAACGAACTACTAGCTCCAACGGAAACTGAACTACTGCTTGAAATCAGTGCTGATAAATGTTAAACCGTTTTGAGCGGGAACAAATTAATTCAAATTATGTGCATATATGAAAGTGATGAAGATTTTAAATTATAATTGTCACTTTGCCATAGAACATTATCTTTAATAATCTCTAATGCTGCTAAGCAAGGCAAAAGTGAATTTAAATACAGTGTTATAACAATAAGTTAACAATATTTCAACAAATTTCAGCCGATATTTATGAATTTCCTCAAATCAATCGTTTGAAGAAATCGGTGATATGAAGTATGGAGAACGTGTTGGTGGTCATGTTTTAGATACTTCTGCATAACGTCACCTCTTAATACAGCAAAGTAACAAATGTGAAAACTGTCACGCTGCGCAGAAAATGTAATTGATTTAAAGCGTATGTTTGACATTACTTTTTAAGCCTTAGAGCCGCAAACATTTCTAAACGAAAAATTGAAATTTGTGTTTTAAAATAATTTGCTTTGTACAAAAAAAATAATTTTACCGGTGTGAGCTCGTGAACGCTGCGGCATGGCAAATCAAGGGAATTGGGCTGATGCTAATCTAGTCCAAAGTCTCAACGAACAAAAACGTTATATTAATGATATGGAGAATGACATTCAGGAAATGCAGCAATACTATGAAAATGAGGTTGAGCAGTCCAAGTACAATGAAGAAGTCCTTAAGGTAAGTCAGCATATCTGGATGTTGCGTTATCGAGAGCAATCATCAATTGCTTTCAGTGCCGCTGCAATGAGCTCCAACAACAAGTGCTGACCCTCCAGCCGGCGCTGAAGCGTGCCGACCAGATGCAAATGGAGATCGATGTTTTACGCAACGAGCTGCGAAAACGTGACTTGGCTTTGAATGCCTACGATTGCCAGTACCAGCAGCTCATGGTAAGCATTGCTAATTAGAGGGATATTCAATTTTGTTGTCACTGTGCCTCTGTATACTTTCCAAGTATAAAACTAAAATGTTCAAGAAATCTGGGTATCGGTACCTAGACGAATTGATAGAAAGTTGCAGTGATAATTGTTTCAAGGACACCGGAGGATTAGAGGATGATGGCGACGTGACATGTTAATGCCGTATCCTTTCTGTAGTTAAATTAGAAAAAAAAATTATAAGTGCACAAAATATATAAGTTTTATAAGCATAAAGGGGATGAGAGGAAAGTCGTTAGGGTTCGTCCGGATTGTTGACGGCTTAAGCACATATTACGCCCTTTAACTTTCCCAAGCCCTGGCATTCAGTTTCAATCCAAAACTACTTATAATGATTTTCCTCTCTTATCCCTTGTTTTATATTTCACACACATTATAGACCGTCGTCTGTGAAATCAACCAAAAGTACGGAAATCACCGTGGTGACTGTCCCTCATTTAATATTCCAGACTTTCCAGAAGTTGGGGATGACCTGATTTTGTACACGAGTGCCACCATAAAACTCATCGTGAAAGACATGGCCAAACAAGCCTATTGGTTCGAGCAAATCAACGAGGATAAGTATTTTGGTAGTCAGACTACCAATAATATAGAAGACTGCATAACTGAGATGGATCGACTACGAACTTTGCTAAGGCAAAAGGATGGCCAGTTAGGCAATTTGATAGAGGAGAATGCGTGCATGTGGGAAGCTGCTGTCGAAAGCAAAAGACGACTCAACCAATTAAATAACCGAGTGCGTGAACTTCATAGAGACACAAAATATATGGAGGAGGGTATGTGCGCGGGTATTGGATTAATAAAGGATATTGATAAGGTTCGCGGAAAAGGAACTGAGCCCTCGGACTTACAGAAACAGAAATATTGTAAGTCTACGGACAGTTAGTAGGGCCTTGCGCGACGGGATCGGACCCCAATGATCCCATCCCAAATGCGTCGTGCTGAAACATGCCTACACTCAAATAACGCGGCTTAATCTTAATTGAGGCTGGCAGTGCCAACTAATATAAATATTCAATCACTAGCGGTACACAAAATATATGAAATATACAATTCTTTTCATTTTTCACGCGATCTATGGGTCGTCTTTGTGGGCGCTGCGTTCATATTCGATTCCAGATGTTGCTGTTGCATGGAGTTTAATTGTGGTATTGTGATAGACAATTTAAGAAATTAAATTAAGATTGGTAGCAATATTGTATGGTTCTTTTATAGATTTGCAGTTAGCGATATATGAAAACTCGTGCAAAAGTCGTTACCGTATCGGTTATATTGGAATCGATACCATTCTTTTGCATCTTTGCTGTTATCGACATTAAAGTACTCATATTTAAGAAACAGCTGCACGTAACAGCTGTCTAGGCGGCAAAAGTTTCATGTCTGCCCGTAAAGTTTATGTGGGATATTAATCAATTAAAATAATGCAATATAGTTTATTAAGTGCTCAATTAAGGTGCTCTAGGTTCTTATTGCGACAGCAAGCACCTTTTATCAACCGTTGCTACAGTGATGATATCAGAAACATTGGTATTTTAGCACACATTGACGCAGGTACTAAAACGTTGCAATGATTATAAAATGTATTTAAATCATATGATGTTTAACTTGTAGGCAAAACCACAACAACGGAACGCATGCTTTATTATGCAGGCAAGACTCGATCTTTGGGCGAGGTACATCGCGGCAATACGGTTACGGATTACCTTACACAAGAGCGCGAGCGTGGCATCACTATTTGCAGCTCAGCCGTTACATTTGCCTGGAATGGTAAGCGGTGCGTGTCCTGATAGTAAATGTTGTAACTATGCTCCTTACACGGTTTTTACTTAGTATTAATCTGCTAGACACGCCCGGACATATTGATTTCACGATGGAGGTGGAGCAGTCTCTATATGCTGTGGACGGCGTCATTGTTGTTTTGGACGGCACGGCTGGCGTGGAAGCGCAAACAGTTACCGTGTGGACACAGGCAGACAATCACAGGCTGCCGCGGCTTGTTTTCGTTAATAAAATGGACCGGTCAGATGCTATTTTTGACAAATGTATTGACGACTTAAAGGCAAAGCTAGATGCTAAACCTATTTGCACGCAACTCCCGGCGAAAAACGTTGACGGACAGTTAGGTGAGCTCAATGGAAATACTAAAGAGAGCAACTTAATTGGTTCAAATGCAATTTCTTACAGGCATATATGATGTAATTACATTGGAGCAGTTGACTTGGCAACAGAACGATTTTGGAAGAACTTATAGTATTAATAAACTAGAATCTTCTTCTGAAATTCGCGAATTGCGTGAAAAACGCAATGAACTAATAGATCAGTTATCCGGAGTTGACGACGAGTTAGCTGAGGTTGTCATTAGCACTGAGAGTTTTGACAAAGTCAGTAATGAGTTAATTGTTCAAGCCCTGCGGCGCGCCACATGCCAGCAGAAGGTTGTGCCCGTGCTGCTGGGCTCTGCTTATAAAAATATAGGCATACAACGTGTAATGGATGCCGTAAATGCTTATTTGCCAACACCAAACGAACGCAATCAGATATATAACTGTTTTGGGTAAGCAGCCAATTGTAAGTTTTCAACCACCACAGTGTTACATGATTGCAGAAATGATCTTGCGGGTAAGGTTTTTAAAATTGTGCACGACAAGCAGCGTGGGCCTCTTACTCTGGTGCGCATGCTGCGCGGCGAGTTGAAGCGTGGAATGCGTGTGCTCTCTTCTCGTGGACAAGCGGAGGTTATATCGAAAATATATGAGCCACTGGCTGACGAATACCGAGAGGTGAGCTCCGTGCGAGCAGGTGATGTGGCCATATGTGCGGGCCTTAAGGTAAGTCTTTTATGTATAATTGACTTATGATAGACAGCGTCTTCTACAGTCAACAGTTACTGGCGATCTGCTTACAACCAGTCATACATCCCTGAAGAATGCGCAGAAACGTTTGATTCAGAGTCTTGACGCAACATCTCCACAGTATGATGAGGACGAGGTGGATGTTAACCAAGAGCTGTTTTCAATTGAGCCTAAAATTCCTGATGCTGTCTACTTTTGCTCCATCGAGCCGCCCAGCCTATCAACGCAAACAGCCATGGAACAAGCGCTCAAACAACTACAGCGTGAAGATCCCAGTTTGCGGGTAAACTACGATACTGTCACTGGGCAGACTGTACTTGGCGGCATGGGTGAATTACACATGGAAATCATAAAGTCGCGTCTGCTAAGTGAGTACAAAATTGATGTTGATCTGGGTCCGCTACAAATTGCCTACAAGGAGGCTATCGAAACGCCGGCCATAACAACCTTAAGTGTGGAAAAAGATATTGCGGGCAGTAAGCAAAATGTGAATATAACCCTACAACTGACCAATAATCAGACCGAGCTCTTCAGGTATGTCCTCACTGGGGGTTTGGGAATTCACTAAATTAATTTCCTCTAAAGCTTAGATAAATCGCCAGAGAACGTTCAAAATCTCAATGCACTGCGTCCTCGGGTCCTTCAAGTGCTGCGCAAAGGAGCAATCGGTGCTTTGGAGCGTGGACCACGTGTTGGCGGTCAAGTTGTAGATACTCAAATACGTCTGCACAATGTCACTGTGGGACGGGGCACTGCCGATTCATTTGTCATGGCAGCGGCGGCACAGTGCGTGCAAAAGGTATGTCCTTATTCAATTTTATTTTAATTACGTTACATTTGATTTGTTTGCTGTAGCTGCTGAGTAAAAGCGGCACACGGCTTCTGGAGCCCATCATGGCCATGCAAATTGTGGCGCCCAATGAACGTGTATCTGGGATTATAGCGGATCTCTCTAGGCGTCGGGCGCTTATAAAAGACGTAATGCCCAAGGGAGATAGGAATAAGGTAAGTTTGTACGATTAATGTGTTCTAATCAGTAGCTTATCATCTTTTAGCTCATTTTGGTGAATGCCCCCTTGGCGGAGCTCTCCGGATATTCCAGTGCGCTGCGAACCATTAGCTCCGGCACGGCCAGCATGACAATGCAACCCTGTGGTTTTTCGGAAATGAACGCCGCGGATGAGACGTTAGCCGTACGCCGAGCTCAGGGATTAGACTAACATAGGCCTGCCTAATTTATTGTCTACTTTTATTGAACGTAGATCACAGTAAGCTGGGTTTGGAAGCTTACAAGTTCCTAGTACATTACTATATAGTATAGTACAAAGAAAAATGTGAAAATTATCGCACGTTGAAAATTATAAAATTTGGTGATAAAATTGATGTCGTTCTTATTTTCGGTGAAATTCTATAAACGGTCCATACATAGACATAACGAAATTAACTAAGGGTTTACTTCTATTTAAGTTAAAAACTACCGGTGCAAACTGTTGGCCGCTGCGGCATGGCATACTCTACACAGAAAGTGTTCTTTCATGTGCCGTTTATGAACGAGACGCTTGAATTTTATTGCCAAGATCCATGCGTCAAGCTAAAAAGTTATCCATCTACAATCGATGATCGCTCGTGGGCAGCCAGTGATGATAAAAAGTCACGTTTTGTATCCGATCTTGTAAGTTGCAATACACCGTCTATCCGCCGCAAGGATGAAAGTGGCGAAAGTCAGAAGCCTGGTCCGGCAGCCCAAGACTATCCACAGCAGCAGAACGGTTATGGAGGCCCAGAACAGGGACAGAACCAGGGAGGTTATGACGGCCAAGGACAGGACCAAGGAGGCTATGACGGACAAGGACAGGACCAGGGCGGTTATGATCAAGGACAGGACCAGGGCGGCTATGATCAAGGACAGGACCAGGGCGGTTATGGAGGTCAAGGACAGGATCAGGGCGGCTATGACGGTCCAGAGCAAGATGGCCGGGGACAGGGCGGATGGAGTGGTTGAGACAAGAGGCGACACCAAAATTCTTAGGTTTACGGTGATCAGGCCATTCCAGGGTCTGAAAGGCCGTGACGGCTCAGGGTGGTAATGGAGTTCCGAGTCAGGAGTGTCAAGACCCGCACGATTTTTGAGGAGGACCAAGTAATAGGTTATGCGCCTCAGGAGGGCCACTAAGCTTAAGTGGTCCGCGGCAGGGTCGAAGCCCGGGACGACGAAGTTGAGATGAAGTAGACTACTTAAAAATCACACGAGGCATATAAAGCATGTATATAGCATCGCGATTCGTCCAGAAAAAAGGATCGTTAACTTTCCTTGGAGTTCGTAATACTGCGTAATCTTGATGACTTTATGGTAGCAGGAGGAACCACAAGAGGTGGTTATGTTTTAATATTCCTACAGGTTAAGGTCCTGGATGCTTTGGTGGTCCTGGTGAACAAGCGCCTGGAGCTTGTGGTGGTCCCGGCGGCTAAGCATGTTGGCCAGGAAAGCCAGCAAGTATTGGTACTTTCCGGAAGCTAACATCAACTACTTTCAGTACCGCTGCAGCAAAAATTGCTCACCCCAGCGGCACTGCAGTGCACAGACCTTATGCAAATGAAAATTGATGTTCTATGCAACGAGTTGCGAAAAAGTCGACTTCCCTCCCAGTACTTGCAGCTAATGACTTAATTTTTATGTGTCTAGCATGCCAAAGCATAAACCTGAGCGTTCTAAAAATCTTATAGTTGCAGTGATAATTGTTTCAAGGAGACTAACATAGAGGATGATGAAGATATAACATGTTAATGCTGTGCAAAAAATGATTTTATGTCCCGCCCGCAAGACACTGAATGCTTTTAAATCTCTAGTTGAATATAAAAAAATGATAAGTGCACAAATATGAATTAGTTGTACGGGATGAGAGGAAAGTCGTTCGGCTGCGTCTCTGGATTGCTGGCGGTTAAGCCACACGACTATTGCTTAAGCTCTCTAATGATTTTCCTCATATCCCTTGTTTTATATTCCGCACACAATTGACATGTTTTATAGCGTCATCAGAGACTAAAGCAAGGAAGCCTTTTACGTGCCACCCTGGAACGTCAGCTCACCAATACAAGATACTATATGGGAAATAATATTTTAGTTATACTGGATATAGCTATGTTACTTGAAAGGGATAGCTTAACTAACAAGACCAAACAGGGACGGAATATATGTAGGAGCAATGCAGCACACAAGGAAGATATGTAAAATTAGGTAATAAATGAATGTACGTATTATGTGTTCTACTTATTTGGATAAAATAAAATTAAAAATGTAAAAACAGTTCAGGGAAAGCGCGACTGGATGCTGAAACTTGTAGAATAACTTAAAAAATGTAACCTATTATTGCAATTACCCCACAATTTTGAATAACCCACCGACTTTGTCCCACTGCGTCAGAGCGTCGTCGCAACAGGAACTCCTTTTGCTAGCTTGGTGCTCCTCGTATAATACAAATATTGAACTTGTCAATAAATGGATTCACTTAATTATTATCGACCAATGCTGCGATACATCGCCGGAGAGCGTGCAAAATCTCAATGTGCTGTATTCTGCATGGCTGCGAAATGTATCATTCGGTGCTTTGGAGTGTGGACCACGTTTTGGCGGTCACGCTGTAGATACCCAGACATGTGACGTATGGGTGCTGCTTACATATGTTTTTAATTTACGTTAGGTACGTTTTTGCGATATACGGCCGACGGATTCTTTATTCTGCTATTAAACATGAATCACAGTAAGCTGGGTACTAGCTGAATAGCTTTATGCTTCATACAATTTCTTAGTACATTACAGAACAATACAGTACAGTAACAAATGTGAAAATTGTCGCACGTGGAATATTTGAAAATTTGGTGATACAATTGATGTCGGACGTATTTTCGATACTACTTTTTAAACTGTCCAGCCATAAACATTTCAAAAGAAAAAATTGAAATTTGTGTTTTAAAATAATTCGCTTTGTAAACTCGACCGGTGCAAGCTCTTGGACGCTGCGGCATGGCGTTCTCTACGCAGAAGGAATTTTTTCATGTGCCGTTTATGAACGAGACGCTTGAGTTTGATTGCCAGGACGCTTGTGTTAAGTTAAAAAGCTATCCATCTACATTCGATGATCGCTCGTGGTCAGCCGATGAGGACAAAAAGTCACGTTTTGTGTCCGATCTGGTAGCTTGCAATACACCGTTAATTTTGCGCCAAGATGACGGTAGTGGTGGCCCCGGCGGTGGCGCACCTGGTGGCAGAGCGAGTTATGGACCTGGCGGCAGAGCTGCCAGTGGACCTGGAGGCAGAGGTCGCACCGGACCTGATTATGATGGGCCAACTGGCGGTAAAGCGGGAAAGCCTGGTCAGAGAGGGCAGGACTATGGTAGAGCACCTACGGGTAAGCGTGGACAGGGGCCTGGTGGCTACGGGGATCCAGGACAGCAAGGACCAGGTGGTCGGGGTGGTCCGGGAGGCCGGGGGGGAGGTCCAGGACAGGGGCCAGGTCGTTACGGTGGTCCCGGAGCAGATGGGCAGGGTCCAGGTGGATGGGATGGCGGCGGTCCCGGCCAGGGACGACAGGCAGGTCGACGTGGTTCTAGCGTTCCTGGACAGGGTGGTGATCGGGCCGGGTACGGAGGACCGGGAGGGGGAGGTCCAGGTCAGGGTCCAGGTGGTCGAGGTGTCGCTGGACCAGGTCAGGCTGGATATGGAGGTCAGGGGCAGGGAGGCCAAGGGCCTGGCGGTCGGGGCGGAACTGGGCAGGGCCAGAATGAATATGGTGGTCCAGGACAACAGAGACTGGGGCAAGGAGGTCCAGAACGAGGAGGTCGAGGTGGCCCTGGCCCAGGCCAGGGACAGAGCCAGGGACCGGGGCAAGAGGGCCAAGGACCAGGCGGTCGTGGGGGAGCAGGGCCAGGTCAGGTCGGATATGGAGCTCCAGGACCAGAACCGGCTGGCTATGGTGGTCCGGGTCAACAAGGCCAGGGGCCAGGAGGTCCAGGTCAACAGGGACTAGGCGGTCGAGGAGCTGCTGGGCCAGGACAGGCTGGATATGGAGGTCCAGGACAAGACGGCCAGGGGCCAGGTGGTCGAGCAGGAGCTGGACCAGGGCAAGAGGGCCAAGGACCAGGCGGTCGTGGGGGAGCTGGACCTGGCCAGGGTAGCTATGGAGGTCCGGGTCGACAAGCTCAGGAGCCAGGTGGTCCGGGTCAACAGGACCAGGGACCGGGCGGTCGAGGAGCACCTGGCCCAGGACAGGCTGGGTATGGAGGTCCAGGACAAGAGGGCCAGGGGCCAGGCGGTCGGGGACCTGCTCCAGGTCAGGCCGGCTATGGAGGCCCGGGTCAGCAAGGCGAAGGGTCTGGTGGTCCGGGCCAAAGGCCAGGTGGTCCGGGTCAACAAGGCCAAGGGCCAGGTGGTCCGGGTCAACAAGGCCAAGGCCCAGGTGGTCCGGGTCAACAAGGCCAAGGGCCAGGTGGTCCGGGTCAACAGGGTCAAGGGCCAGGTGGTCCGGGTCAACAGGGTCAAGGGCCGGGTGGTCCGGGTCAACAAGGCCAAGGGCCAGGCGCTCGAGGCGGAGCTGGCCCCGGCCAAGGACCAGGTGGTGCGGGTCAACAGGATCAGGGCCCAGGAGGTCGAGGCGGCGCTGGCCCAGGTCAGCCTGCCTATGTACAAGACGGTCAGGGTCCAGGCGGTCGGGGAGCTCCTGCTACAGGTCAGGCCGGATATGGTGGACCGGGTCAACAGGGCCAAGGGCCAGGTGGTCCGGGTCAACAGGGCCAAGGTCCAGGTGGTCCGGGTCAACAGGGCCAAGGTCCAGGTGGTCCGGGTCAACAGGGCCAAGGGCCAGGTGGTCGTGGCGGAGCTGGACCAGGCCAAGTCGGTTATGGAGGTCCCGGGCAAGAGAGCCAGGGACCAGGAGGTCGAGGAGGACCTGGCCCAGGACAGGCTGGGTATGGAGGTCCAGGACAAGAGGGCCAGGGGCCAGGCGGTCGGGGACCTGCTCCAGGTCAGGCCGGCTATGGAGGCCCGGGTCAGCAAGGCGAAGGGTCTGGTGGTCCGGGCCAAAGGCCAGGTGGTCCGGGTCAACAAGGCCAAGGGCCAGGTGGTCCAGGTCAACAGGGCCAAGGGCCGGGAGGTCCAGGTCAACAAGGCCAAGGGCCGGGAGGTCCAGGTCAACAGGGCCAAGGGCCGGGTGGTCCAGGTCAACAGGGCCAAGGGCCGGGTGGTCCAGGTCAACAGGGCCAAGGGCCAGGCGCTCGAGGTGGACCTGTTCCAGGCCAGGCTGGTTATGCTGGTCCGGGTCAAGAGGGTCAGGGACCAGGTGGTCGAGGCGTAGCTGGGCCAGCACAAGCCGGATATGGAGGTCCAGGACAAGAGGGCCAGGGTCGCGGCGCACTTGGGCCAGGCCAGGGCCCAGGTGGTCAGGGTCAAGGGCTAGGAGGTCCTGGTCAACAAGGCCAGGGGCCAGGTGGTCAAGGTCAGGGACCAGGAGGTCCGGGTCAACAAGGCCAGGGGCCAGGTGGTCGCGGTGGACCAGGTCCAGGTCAGGCTGGATATGGAGTTCCAGGACAAGATCAGGGGCCAGGCGGACGTGGCGGTCCAGGTCCAGGTCAAGGCGGATATGGAGGTCCAGGACAAGGACAGGATCGAGGAGGTCCTGGGCCAGGTCAAGCTGGATATGGAGGTCCGGGTCAACAAGGTCAGGGCCCAGGTGGTCAGGTTCAGGGACTAGGAGGTCCGGGTCGGCAAGGCCAGGGGCCAGGTGATCGCGGTGGCCCTGGTCAACAAGGCCAGGGGCCAGGTGGTCAAGGTCAGGGACCAGGAGGTCCGGGTCAACAAGGCCAGGGGCCAGGTGGTCAAGGTCAGGGACCAGGAGGTCCGGGTCAACAAGGCCAGGGGCCAGGTGGTCGCGGTGGACCAGGTCCAGGTCAGGCTGGATATGGAGTTCCAGGACAAGATCAGGGGCCAGGCGGACGTGGCGGTCCAGGTCCAGGTCAAGCCGGATATGGAGGTCCAGGACAAGGACAGGTTCAAGGAGGTCCTGGGCCAGGTCAGGCTGGATATGGGGGTCCGGGTCAACAAGGTCAGGGCCCAGGTGGTCAGGGTCAGGGACTAGGAGGTCCGGGTCAACAAGGCCAGGGGCCAGGTGGTCGCGGTGCACCAGGTCCAGGTCCAGGTCAGGCTGGATATGGAGTTCCAGGACAAGATCAGGGGCCAGGCGGACGAGGCGGTCCTGGTCCAGGTCAAGCTGGATATGGAGGTCCAGGACAAGACGGACAGGTTCGAGGAGGACCTGGGCCAGGCCAGGCTGGCTATGGAGGTCCGGGTCAACAAGGCCAGGGCCCAGGTGGTCAGGGGGCCGGAGGTCCAGGTCAACAAGGCCAGGGGCCTGGCGCTCGAGGTGGACCTGGCCCAGGCCAGGCCGGTGTGGGAGGTCCAGGACAAGAGGGACCAGGACGAGGAGGACCTGGACCAGGCCAGGCCGGATACGGAGGACCGGGTCAACAAGGCCAGGGGCCAAGCGGTCGAGGAGTACCTGGGCCTGGTCAACAGGGCCAGGGGCCGGGTGGTCAAGGAGGACCTATGGCGGGCCAAGCCGGATATGGAGGTCCGGGACAAGAAGGCCAGGGACCAGGGGGTCGTGGCGGACCTGGTCCAGGACAAGAAGGTCAGGGGCCAGGGGGTCGCGGTGGACCTGTTCCAGGTCAGGCCGGATATGGTCCAGGACAAGAAGCACAGGGTCGAGGCGGACCTGGGCCAGGCCAGGCTGGCTATGGAGGTCCCGGTCAACAAGGCCAGGGTCCAGGTGGTCAGGGGCCAGGAGGTCCGGGTCAACAAGGCCAGGGGCCAGGCGCTCGCGGTGGACCTGGCCCAGGTCAGGCCGGAGTGGGAGGTCCAGGACAAGAGGGACCAGGACGAGGAGGACCTGGACCAGGCCAGGTCGGATACGGAGCACCGGGTCAACAAGGCCAGGGGCCAAGTGGTCGAGGAGGACCTGGTCAACAGGGTCAGGGGCCGGGTGGTCAAGGAGGACCTATGGTGGGCCAAGCCGGATATGGAGGTCCGGGACAAGAAGGCCAGGGACCAGGGGGTCGTGGCGGACCTGGTCCAGGACAAGAAGGTCAGGGGCCAGGGGGTCGCGGTGGACCTGTTCCAGGTCAGGCCGGATATGGTCCAGGACAAGAAGCACAGGGTCGAGGCGGACCTGGGCCAGGCCAGGCTGGTTATGGAGGTCCCGGTCAACAAGGCCAGGGTCCAGGTGGTCAGGGGCCAGGAGGTCCGGGTCAACAAGGCCAGGGGCCAGGCGCTCGCGGTGGACCTGGCCCAGGTCAGGCCGGAGTGGGAGGTCCAGGACAAGAGGGACCAGGACGAGGCGGACCTGGCCCAGGCCAGGCTGGCTATGGAGGACCGGGTCAACAAGGCCAGGGCCCAGGTGGTCAGGGTCAGGGGCCTGGAGGTCCGGCTCAACAGGGTCAGGGGCCAGGCGCTCGAGGTGGACCTGGTCCAGGCCAGGCTGGATATGCTGGTCCGGGTCAAGAGGGTCAGGGACCAGGTGGTCGAGGCGGACCAATGCCAGGACAAGCCGGATATGGTGGTCCTGGAAGGGAGGGCCAGGCTCCAGGTGGTCGAGGCGGACCTGGACCAGGACAAGCCGGTTATGGGGGTCCCGGACAAGAGGGTCAGGGTCCAGGCGGTCGAGGAGGACCTGGTCCTGGACAAGCCGGATTTGGAGGTCCAGGGCAAGAAGGCCAAGGTCCAGGCGGTCGAGGCGGGCCAGGTCCAGGCCAGGCCGGCTATGTTGGTCCAGGACAAGAGGGTCAGGGTCCAGGCGGTCGAGCCGGACCAATGCCAGGACAAGCCGGATATGGTGGTCCTGGAAGGGAGGGCCAGGCTCCAGGTGGTCGAGGCGGACCTGGACCAGGACAAGCCGGTTATGGGGGTCCCGGACAAGAGGGTCAGGGTCCAGGCGGTCGAGGAGGACCTGGTCCTGGACAAGCCGGATTTGGAGGTCCAGGGCAAGAAGGCCAAGGTCCAGGCGGTCGAGGCGGGCCAGGTCCAGGCCAGGCCGGCTATGTTGGTCCAGGACAAGAGGGTCAGGGTCCAGGCGGTCGAGCCGGGCCAATGCCAGGACAAGCCGGATATGGTGGTCCTGGAAGGGAGGGCCAGGCTCCAGGTGGTCGACCTGGACCAGGACAAGCCGGTTATGGAGGTCCGGGACAAGAGGGACAGGGTCCAGGCGGTCGAGGAGGACCTGGTCCTGGACAAGCCGGATTTGGAGGTCCAGGCCAAGAGGGCCAGGGTCCAGGCGGTCGGGGCGGGCCAGGCCAGGCCGGCTATGTAGGTCCCGGAAAAGAGGGTCAGGGTCCTGCCGGTAGAGGTGGTCCAGGCCAAGAAGGGCAAGGGCCAGGACCAGGTGGTCGAGGAGAGCCTATGCCTGGACAAGCTGGATATGGAGGTCCTGTAAAAGAAGGACAGGGTCCAGGAGTTCGAGGAGGACCTGGCCCAGGACAAGCCGGATATGGTGGTCCGGGACAAGAGGGTCAGGGTCCAGGCGGTCGAGCCGGACCAATGCCAGGACAAACTGCTGGTCCTGGAAGGGAGGGCCAGGCTCCAGGTGTTCGAGGCGGACCTGGACCAGGACAAGCCGCTTATGGAGGTCCGGGACAAGAGGGTCAGGGTCCAGGTGGTCGAGGCGGACCTGGTCCTGGACAAGCCGGATATGGAGGTCCAGGGCAAGAAGGCCAGGCTCCAGGCGGTCGAGGCGGGCCCGGTCCAGGCCAGGCCGGCTATGTTGGTCCTGGAAAAGAGGGCCAGGGTCCTACCGGTAGAGGTGGTGGTCCAGGCCAAGAAGGACAAGGGCCAGGGCCAGGTGGACGTGGAGAACCTATGCCAGGGCAAGCCGGATATGGAGGTCCAGGAAAAGAAGGCCAAGGTCCAGGAGGTCGAGGCGGACCTGGGCCAGGACAAGCCGGATATGGCGGCCCTGGAAGGGAGGGCCAGGCTCCGGGTGTTCGAGGTGGACCTGGACCAGGACAAGCCGGTTATGGAGGTCCAGGGCAAGAGGGCCAGGGTTCAGGCGGGCGAGGCGGACCCCTTCCGGGACAGGCGGGTTATGTTGGTCCCGGAAAAGAGGGCCAGGGTCCAGGCGGTCGAGGTGGTGGTCCAGGCCAAGAAGGGCAAGGTCCAGGGACAGGTGGTCGAGGAGAACCTATGCCAGGACAAGCCGGTTATGGCGGTCCTGGGAAAGAGGGCCAAGGTCCAGGTGGCCGAGGCGGACCTGGGCAAGGACAAGCCGGATATGGTGGCCCGGGACAAGAAGGCCAGGGTCCAGGTGGTCGAGGCGGACCTGGGCCAGGACAAGCCGGATATGGAGGTCCAGGACAAGAGGGCCAGGGTCCAGGCGGGCGAGGCCCACCCATTCCAGGACAGGCGGGTTATGTTGGTCCCGGAAAAGAGGGCCAGGGTCCAGGTGGTCGAGGTGGTGGTCCAGGCCAAGAAGGGCGAGGTCCAGGACCAGGAGGTCGAGGAGAACCCATGCCAGGACAAGCCGGATATGGAGGTCCTGGAAAAGAAGGCCAAGGTGCAGGAGGTCGAGGCGGACCTGGGCCAGGGCAAGCCGGATATGGCGGACCTGGAAGGGAGGGCCAGGCTCCGGGTGGTCGAGGTGGACCTGAACCAGGACAAGCCGGATATGGAGGACCAGGGCAAGAGGGCCAGGGTGCAGGTGTTCGAGGCGGACCTGGACCAGGACAAGCCGGGTACGGAGGTCCAGGGCAAGAGGGCCAGGGTCCAGGCGGACCTGGGCCAGGGCAAGCCGGATATGGCGGACCTGGAAGGGAGGGCCAGGCTCCGGTTGGTCGAGGTGGACCTGGACCAGGACAAGCCGGATATGGAGGTCCAGGGCAAGAGGGCCAGGGTGCAGGTGTTCGAGGCGGACCTGGACCAGGACAAGCCGGGTATGGAGGTCCAGGGCAAGAGGGCCAGGGTCCAGGCGGTCGAGGCGGACCTGGGCCAGGGCAAGCCGGATATGGTGGTCCTGGAAGGGAGGGTCAGGCTCCAGGTGGACGCGGTGGACTTGGACCGGGACAAGACGGATATGGAGGTCCGGAGCAAGAGGGCCAGGGTCCAGGAGGGAGAGGCGGACCTGGACCAGGACAGGCGGGTTATGTTGGTCCCGGAAAAGATGGCCAGGGTCCAGGCGGTCGAAGTGGTGGTCCAGGGCAAGGGCAAGGGCCAGGCGGCCGAGGAGAACCTATGCCAGGACAAGCCGGATATGGAGGTCCTGGAAAAGAAGGTCAAGGTCCAGGCGGTCGAGGCGGACCAATGCCAGGACAAGCCGGATATGGAGGTCCAGGGCAGGAGGGCCAGGGCCCAGGCGGTCGAGGCGGACCTGGGCCAGGACAAGCCGGATATGGTGGCCCTGGAAGGGAGGGTCAGGCTCCAGGTGGACGAGGTGGACCTGGGCCAGGACAAGCCGGATATGGTGGCCCGGGACAAGAAGGCCAGGGTCCAGGCGGTCGAGGCGGACCAATGCCAGGACAAGCCGGATATGGTGGTCCGGGACAAGAGGGCCAGGGTCCAGGAGGGAGAGGCGGACCTGGACCAGGACAGGCCGGATATGGTGGTCCTGGAAGGGAGGGTCAGGCTCCAGGTGGACGAGGTGGAATTGGGCCAGGACAAGCCGGATATGGTGGCCCGGGACAAGAAGGCCAGGGTCCAGGCGGTCGAGGCGGACCAATGCCAGGACATGCCGGATATGGTGGTCCGGGACAAGAGGGCCAGGGTCCAGGAGGGAGAGGTGGACCTGGACCAGGACAGGCAGGTTATATTGGTCCTGGAAAAGAGGGCCAGGGTCCAGGCGGTCGAAGTGGTGGTCTAGGCCAAGAAGGTCAAGGGCCAGGTGGTCGAGGAGAACCTATGCCAGGACAAGCTGGATATGGAGGTCCTGGGAAAGAAGGCCAAGGTCCAGGAGGTCGAGGTGGACCTGGGCCGTGGCAACCCGGATATGGTGGTCCGGGACAGGAGGGCCAGGGGCCAGGCGGGCGAGGCGGACCCAGTCCAGGACAGGCCGGTTATGTTGGTCCGGGAAAAGAGGGCCAGGGTCCAGGTGGTCGAGCTGGTGGCCCAGGCCAAGAAAGGCCAGGGCCCGGTGGTAGAGGAGAACCCATGCCAGGACAAGCCGGATATGGTGGTCCTGGAAAAGGACAGGGTCCAGGAGGTCGAGGCGGACCTGGGCCAGGGCAAGCCGGATATGGAGGTCCAGGACAAGAGGGCCAGGGTCCAGGCGGTCGAGGTGGACCTGGGCCCGGACAAGCCGGATATGGAGGTCCAGGGCAGGAGAGCCAGGGTCCAGGTGGTCGAGGTGGACCTGGGCCCGGACAAGCCGGATATGGAGTGCCGGGACAAGAGGGCCAGGTTCCGGGCAGTCGAGGCGGACCTGGGCCAGGACAAGCTGGCTATGGAGGTCGAGGTGGACCTGGGCCCGGACAAGCCGGATATGGAGTGCCGGGACAAGAGGGCCAGGTTCCGGGCAGTCGAGGCGGACCAGGGCCAGGACAAGCCGGCTATGGAGGTCTGGGACAAGAGGGCCAGGGTCCAGGTGGTCGAGGAGGACCTGGGCCAGGTCAGACTGGATATGGTGCTCCAGGACAAGAAGGGCAATGGCCAGGCGGAAGAGGTGGACCCATGCCAGGACAACCCGGCTATGGAAGTCCTGGTAAAGAAGGCCAGGGAACAGGTGGTCGAGGCGGACTTGGTCCGGGCCAGGCCGGGTATGTTGGTCCCGGAAAAGAGGGCCAGGGTCTAGGTCAGGCCGGCTTTGGTGGTCCAGGACAAGGGCAGGGGCCAGGAGGTAGAGGCGGACCTGCGCCAGGCCAAGCCGGATATGGAGGTCCTGGACAAGAAGGTCAAGGGCCAGGCGGAAGGGGCGGACCTTTCCCAGGTCAAGCCGGATATGGAGGTCCCGATCAAGAGGGCCAGGGCCCGGGCGGTCGAGGCGGACTTGGTCCGGGCCAGACCGGGTATATTGGTCCCGGAAAAGAAAGCCAAGGACCAGGTCGAGGTGGACCTGGGCCAGGTCAGGCTGGATATGGCGGCCCAGGACAAGAAGGGCAGTGGCAAGGTGGTAGAGGAGGCCCCATGCCAGGACAAGTAGGTGATGGAACTCTCGGAAAAGAAGCTCAGGGTCCTGGTGGTCGAGGCGGACCTGGTCCAGGTCAGGCCGGCTATGGTGGTCCAGGACAAGGGCAAGGGCCAGGCGGTAGAGGCGGACCCATGCCAGGTCAAGCCGGATATGGAGGTCCCGGACAAGAGGGCCAGGGTCCTGGTGGTAGAGGAGGACCCATGCCAGGACAACCCGGATATGGTGCTCCAGGTCAAGCCGGCTATGGTGGTCCAGGACAAGGGCAAGGGCCTGGTGGGAGAGGTGGACCTATACCAGGACAGGCCGGCTATGGAGGTCTTAGTAAAGAAGGTCAGGGTCCAGGAGGCCGAGGTGAACCTATGCCAGGACAAGCCGGATATGGAGGTCCTGGACAAGAGGGCCAGGGTCCTGGTGGTCGAGGCGGACCTGGGCCAGGTCAGGCCGGCTATGGTGGTCCAGGACAAGGGCAAGGGCCAGGCGGTAGAGGCGGACCCATGCCAGGACAACCTATGCCTGGTCAAGCCGGATATGGAGGTCCCGGACAAGAGGGCCAGGGTCCTGGTGGTAGAGGAGGACCCATGCCAGGACAACCCGGATATGGTGCTCCAGGTCAAGCCGGCTATGGTGGTCCAGGGCAAGGGCCTGGTGGGAGAGGTGGACCTATACCAGGACAGGCCGGCTATGGAGGTCCTAGTAAAGAAGGTCAGGGTCCAGGAGGCCGAGGTGAACCTATGCCAGGACAAGCCGGATATGGAGGTCCTGGACAAGAGGGCCAGGGTCCTGGTGTTCGAGGTGGACCTGGGCCAGGTCAGGCCGGCTATGGTGGTCCAGGACAAGGGCAAGGGCCAGGCGGTAGAGGTGGACCTATGCCAGGACAACCGTTGCCAGGTCAAGCCGGATATGGAGGTCCCGGACAAGAGGGCCAGGGGCTTGGTGGTAGAGGCGGACCTGTGACAGGATATGGTGGTCCAGGTCAAGCCGGCTATGGTGGTCCAGGACAAGGGCAAGGGCCTGGTGGGAGAGGTGGACCTATGCCAGGACAGGCCGGCTATGGAGGACCTAGTAAAGAAGGTCAGGGTCCAGGAGGCCGAGGCGAACCTATGCCAGGACAAGCCGGATATGGAGGTCCTGGGCAAGAGGGCCTGGGTCCTGGTGGTCGAGGCGGACCTGGGCCAGGTCAGGCCGGTTATGGTGGTCCGGGACAAGGGCACTGGCCTGGCGATAGAGGCGGGCCTATGCCAGGACAAGCTGGCTATGGAGGTCTTGGTAAAGAAGGCCAGGGTCCCGGAGGCCGAGGCGGACCCATGCCAGGGCAAGCCGGCTATGGTGCTCCAGGACAAGAGGGCCAGGGTCCGGCCGGTCGAGGCGGACTAGTTCCAGGCCAGGCCGGTTATGTTGGTCCTGGAAAAGAGGGCCAGGGTCTGGGTCGAGGTGGACCTGGACCTGGACAAGCCGGTTATGGTGGTCCAGGACAAGAGGGCCAGGGTCCTGGTGGTCGAGGCGGACCTGGGCCAGGACAAGCCGGTTATGGTGGTCCAGGACAAGAAGGGCAGTGGCCGGGCGATGGAGGCGGGCCTATACCAGGACAAGCTGGATATGGAAAAGGTCAGGGTCCAGGAGGCCGAGGCGGACCTATGCCAGGACAAGCTGGATATGAAGGTCCAGGACAAGAGAGCCAGGGTCCAGGTCGAGGCGGACGTGGTCCAGGCCAGGCCGGTTATTTTGGCCCTGGAAAGGAGGGCCAGGGCTCAGGTCGAGGCGGGCCTGGGCCAGGTCAGGCTGGATATGGCGGTCCAGCACAAGAAGGGCAGTGGCCAGGCGGTAGAGGCGGTACTCTACCAGGACAAGTCGGTGATGGAGGTCTTGCAAAAGGTCAGGGTCCAGGAGGCCAAGGCGGACCTATGCCAGGACAAGCCGGATATGGAGGTCCAGGGCAAGGCCAGGGTCCAGGTGGTCGAGGTGGACCTGTGCCAGGCCAAGCAGGCTACGGTGTTCCAGGACAAGCCGGTTATGCTCCCGGAAAAGAAGGCCAGGGTCCAGGTGGCCGAGGCGGACCTGGTACAGGACAAGCTGGCTATGGAGGTCCAGGACAAGAAGGAATGGGTCCAGGCGGTCGAGGTGGAGTTGGACCGGGCCAGGCCGGCTATGAAGGCCCTGGACCAGGTCAGGCTGGATATAGAGGGCCAGGAGAAGGAATGCGTCCCGGAAGTCGCTTTGGCGCTGGACCAGATCAAGCCGGATATGGCGGTCCAGGACAAGAAAGGATGGGTCCAGCCGGTCGCGGTGGAGTTGGACCGGGCCAGCCCGGTTATGTAGGTCCTGGACAAGAAGGAATGGGTCCTGGAGGTCGCGTTGGCGCTGGACCAGGGCAGGCTGGATATGGCGGTCCAGGACAAGGGATGGGTCCTGACGGTCGAGATGGAGTTGGGCCAGGCCAAGCCGGTTATGGAGGTCCAGGACAAGGAATGGGTCCAGGCGGACGAGGCGGAGTCGGGCCAGGCCAGGCCGGATATGGAGGGCCAGGACAAGAAGGAATGGGTCCAGGTGGTCGAGGTGGAGTTGGACCAGGCCAGACCGGCTATGGAGGCCCTGGACCAGGCCAGGCTGGCTATGGAGGGCCAGGACAAGAAGGAATGGGTCCTGGAGGTCGCGTTGGCCCTGGACCAGGGCAGCCCGGATATGGAGGTCCAGGACAAGGGATGGGTCCTGACGGTCGAGATGGAGTTGGGCCAGGCCAAGCCGGTTATGGAGGTCCAGGACAAGGAATGGGTCCAGGCGAACGAGGCGGAGTCGGGCCAGGCCAGGCCGGATATGGAGGGCCAGGACAAGGAATGGGTCCAGGCGGTCGAGGTGGAGTTGGACCGGGCCAGGCCGGCTATGGAGGGCCAGAACAAGAAGGGATGGGTCCAGGCGGTCGAGGTGGAGTTGGACCGGGCCAGGCCGGCTATGGAGGCCCCGGACCAGGCCAGGCTGCCTATGGAGGGCCAGGACAAGAAGGAATGGGTCCAGGCGGTCGCGTTGGCGCTGGACCAGGGCAGGCCGGATATGGAGGTCCAGGACAAGGGATGGGTCCAGACGGTCGAGATGGAGTTGGGCCAGGTCAGGCCGGTTATCGAGGTCCTGGACAAGAAGGAATGGGTCCAGGTGGGCGCGTTGCCGCAGGGCCAGGTCAGGCCGGCTATGGTGGTCCAGGTCAGCAAGGTCAAGTACCAGGCGGCATTGGTGTCACTGACATGTTTGGACAAGACAGTGGTCGTGGGAGCTATCCAGGTAGTGGTCGTGACGGTTACGGTGGTCCCGATGGACAAGGAGGGCCCGGAGGTTTTGGTGGTCCCGGTGGACAGGGCCCTGGAGATTTTGGTGGATCTGGTGGACGAGGTCCTGGAGGTCCTGGTGGTCCTGGTGGTCCTGGAGGTCCTGGAGGTCCTGGAGGTCCTGGTAGTCCTGGAGGTCCTGGTGGTCCTGGAGGTCCTGGTGGTCCTGAAGCACGCTCTGGAAAGTCTGGTGGAAAACTAGTGGTGGGCGACAGTCTTATCAACGCTGCGGACGACACCATTGAAAACATGAAGAAGGTAATGATTGACAATAAATTACTCGACAAAGATTTGGCCGAGACCCGAGATCGCGTGGGAGGCACTAAAACAGGAAATGCTGAACTGCAACGTATAATGGAACAACGCTACGACCCCGAAATGAGCAAGGTGTTTGAGAATAAAATTCAAGACCTATCAGACGCTAGAAAGATCGATAACAACGATGAAAGGGATCTCAGACACATCCATAAATCCGTCGATGATATGAATAAATCTCATGATATTCTAGAATCGGAAAATGCAAACCTTAGACGACTTCTTGAAAAGCAGTCCAGGCGATGTTCGATGGACAGCATTAGGATTGATCCAGAAAAGAGCAACGATGTCAATTATTTACAAAATAAGATCGACAATATGGGTAAGGAGTTGGCAATACTGCGTCAAGCTGAGGACGAATTTATAAGAGCGGGGGGAGCCACTGAAGGCGGTTATGGAGGTCTTGGTGGACCAGACATGGATGTTGACACACTTCAAACCATGTTGGCTGAGCGTGAATCACTACGCGCAAAAATTAAAAACCTAGGTTCGCTCCATAATAAGGTTAAAGGTTCGAAGAAGAAAGTCTGCCTAGCAGAATGTGCCTCTGCTGATCTAGTCAAAAGTCTTAATGAACAAAATCGTTATATTTGTGATATGGAGAATGACATTCAGGAAATGCAGCAATACTATGAAAATGAGGTGGAGCAGTCCAAGTACAATGAAGAAGTCCTTAAGGTAAGATAGCATTTATGGGTATTTTCTTATCGAGAGCTAACATCAATTGCTTTTAGTGCCGCTGCAATGAGCTTCAACAGCAAGTGGTGACCCTCCAGCCGGCGCTGCAGCGCGCAGACCTTATGCAAATGGAGATCGACGTTTTACGCAACGAGCTGCGAAAACGTGACTTGGCTTTGAACGCCTACGATTGCCAATACCAGCAGCTCATGGTAAGCATTTTCAATCAGTGGGTGTTTCCAATCTTATGTGTCTCTATGTATCCCAAAGCATAAAACTAAAGCGTTCAAGAAATCTGGGTATCGTTACCTAGACGAATTGATAGAAAGTTGCAGTGATAGTTGTTTCAAGGAAACTGGGAAAGAGGATGATGGAGATATAACATGTTAATGCCGTACCAAAAATAATTTTATGTCCTGCCCAAAATAACCTTTCATGATTTTAAATCTGTAGTTTTAAAAAATTATAAGTGCACAGATATGAAATAGCCATAAAACATGAACGGGGTGAGAGGAAAGTCGTTAGGGTACGTCTATGGATTGCTAGCGGCTTAATCACATGTATATTCTCCCTTCCTCTTTCTCAAGCGCTCTCAAAAAGTTTCAATCCACAACTACTTATAATGATTTTCCTCTCTAATCCCTTGTTTTATATTTTACACACATTCTACTCATTCTAGACCGTCATCTGTGAGCTCAATCAAAAGTACGGGAATCAGCGTGGTGACTGTTCCTCATTTGATTTACCAGACTGTCCCGATGTAGGCGATGATCTAGCCTTTTACACGAGCGCCACTTTAGAACTTATCATGGACGAAATGAGCAAACAGGCTGATTGCTTTAAGCATATGAACGAGGATAAGTATTCCGGCGGTCAGAAAATTAACAATATAGAAGACTGCATGAACGAGCTGGATAGACTGCGTAATTTGTTAAATGAAAAGGACGGCCAGTTGGGCGATTTGATAGAGGAAAATGAGTGCATGTGCGAAGCTGCTATGCAAAGCAACAAGCGACTTAACCAATTGGATAAAAAGGTTCGTCAACTTGATAATGACACAAAGTATATGGAGGAAGGTATGCGCGAGAGCATTGGATTAATACAGGACATTGGTGATGTTGCCAGGGAAAACGATAGGTTGAAGGATAAAGTTAACAACTTGAAAGAAGCTGAACTTCAAGCATTGACGGATGATTTGAAGAAACAGCTTGAGGATTGCATGAAGAGTAAACAACTTTGCGAAGAAATAAATAAAAGGTTTAGAGAAGCATTGCAGGACCTTGGAGGGGATCCCGACGCTATTGAAAAAGAAGCTAAACAGAGAATAGAGGAACAACGGAAGGCCGAAGAAGCTGAGAAAGCGGCCGAAGAAGCTGAAAAAGCAGCCGAAGAAGCTAAAAAAGCTGCGGAAGAAGTGAAAAAAGACGCGGAAGATGCTAAATTGAAAGAAGAACCAAAATTGATCGAAAAAGTTATGACGCCGACAGGAATGGTGGAAAGATTGATCGAGAAACCGGAAGGGGTGGCTAGACAGATACCATCTGAAAGACTAGAAGAATCTAGAGCTAAGCCAGGTTTTGGTGATACAGCAGAGGTTCAACCTAGTTCCATGCCCACAGATACAGCAGCAGATCAACCAGGTGCGAGGCCACAGGATAGAATAATAGGTCAACCAGGTGAAGAGCCACAGGATAAAACAAGCGGGCAACCAGGTGCAAAGCCTCAAGATGCAGCCGCTGCTCAACCGGGTGCTGAGCCACAAGATGCAGCCGCCACCCAGCCGGGTGCTAAGCCTCAAGATACAGCCGCTGCTCAACCGGGTGCTAAGCCTCAAGATACAGCCGCTGCTCAGCCGGGTGTTAAGCCTCAAGATACAGCCGCTGCTCAACCGGGTGCAAAGCCTCAAGATACAGCCGCAGCCCAACCGGGTGCAAAGCCTCAAGATACAGCCGCCGCTCAACCGGGTGCAAAGCCTCAAGATACAGCCGCCGCTCAACCGGGTGCTAAGCCTCAAGATACAGCCGCCGCTCAACCGGGTGCTAAGCCTCAAGATGCAGCCGCCGCTCAACCGGGTGCTAAGCCCCAAGATACAGCCGCCGCTCAGCCGGGTGCTAAACCCCAAGATACAGCCGCCGCTCAACCGGGTGCTAAGCCTCAAGATACAGCCGCCGCTCAACCGGGTGCTAAGCCTCAAGATACAGCCGCCGTTCAACCGGGTGCTAAGCCTCAAGATACAGCCGCCGCTCAACCGGGTGCTAAACCTCAAGATACGGGAGCTAGTAAACCAGGTGCAAAGCCCCAAGATACGGCAGCTGCTCAACCGGGTGCAAAGCCCCAAGATACGGCAGCTGCTCAACCGGGTGCAAAACCTCAAGATACGGCAGCTAGTAAACCAGGTGCAAAGCCCCAGGATACGGCAGCTGCTCAACCGGGTGCAAAGCCCCAAGATACAACAGCCGGTCAACCTGGTTCAAAGCCCCAAGATACAACAGCTGGTAAGCCTGGTGCTAAACCTGGAGCCCCTCAGGTCGAAAAACCTGGAGGAGCCGGAGAGACTGGCGGGAAGCCTGCTCAACCTTCTGACGCCTCTGGCGATAAAGCTGGAGCACCTGGACAAACTGGAGATAAACCTGGAGATAAGCCTCCAGCAGCCGGAAAGCCTGGAGATAAACCTCCAACAGCCGGAAAACCTGGAGATAAGTCAGGAGCAGCATCTGCTCAACCTGCTGCTGCTTCTGCCGACAAGGCTGAAGCAGCTGGGAAAGCTGGACCTAAACCTGGCGACAAGCCCGGAAAAGCCGCACAGCCGACTAGTGCCGATGAAGATAAAACTGGACAGATTGATGCTGGGCCTGGAGATAAGGCTGGAGTACCCGGACAACCTGATGCAGGACCTGGAGATAAGCCCGGTGGAGCGGCTGGACAACCTAGCGATAAGCCCGGTAGAGCCGGCGGCCCAGCTGGTCAACTAAGTGATAAGCCCGGAAGAGCCGGCGGCCCAGCTGGTCAACCAGGAGCAACAGCTGGCGATAAAGCCGGTGCGGGTAGGCAACCAGGCGCTAGAGTTGGAGGAGGTCCCGGAGCAGCAGAAAAAACTGGTGGAAGGCCTGGGGACGAAAGCAGCGGCCAACCTGCCGCTAAGGCCGGTGCTGCTGGAGGAGAAACACGGCAGGGACCCAAAGGTCTTGCCCAAAAGCCTGGCTTGCGCGCACCAGGCAGAGATATATATGGCGACGATGGTGATGACGGAATAGGAGGTGTGAAACGCGGAGCAAAAGGTACTGGGCGCGGCAGAAAAAGTCAAAAACTGGATGACACCACTGAAGAGCAGTTCGATGAGTTTGTAAAGAATACTGTGAAAACATTATCCGCCGGCGAGATTGATGGTGTTGGTTTGGAAAGGGAGTTGCGCAAGATCTTGGATATGTTTATCGATGAGTGCGGATTCTGTTTCTGCAAGTGCAACATACCGAAGAGCCGCTTTTATGCTATATGTCACAAGCTCTACCATCATGGGCTGCACACTCTAGACTTTAAAGATCTGGCTTACATGCATAAGCGTATCTTTGCTGCGGCAGAAAACATTCTGCCTGGATGTCTTTTCAATATGATCATGAAAGATATACTGGCCACTAATCCACAGAGCCTAAGCCAGACGACCCCTTCAACTAATGTACCCGAAAAACAGTGCTGCACGTGCAAAAGCTCGCTCTGTTGCGATGACACTGAGGAAAAACTTATGATAAAGGGTTCGTGGATGTCTTTATTTTATTTTGTTTATATTCTTTTGAACTTTCGTTTTTTTTCTTAGTAATGCGCCTTGAAAACGATATTGAGAATGCCAAATTGTGCTTGAAGAATTTGAAAAATATTCCATCCAATCTGTCCATACATGATTATCGTATTGAGGCTGGCGATTGTCCGGCAAAGTAAGTAACAAAAAAAAAAAAAAATTGTATTCAATTCTCAAATTACTCGAATTACAGGGACCGCGTCCTACGTTCTACGCGTGGGGGAAACTCTATTACCATATACAAAGAAATTAAGCAGGCCCGACGTGCTAAGGTGATTTTTTGATATAGACACGGTAAATACTGCTAAAATCTATCTTTTACTTTCAGAAGGGATTTACTGCAAACAATTAAATATTGCTTTTTATTTTTGTGTTTTACGTGTTGGGTTGGATTCAAGTAATACGTCCGATTAACGTTTCTGATATTGTGATCCAGCCATATAAAATTCGTTGTGAATTAAAATATTAAATTATTAATCGTTAAATTTGAGTGTTTCAATAACAACGTGTACTCGATGTCTATTAAATACTCGGTATCGATAATAGTATCGATAGTAGTAGGCAACAGCTATCGATTAATGATTGTATAAGCATGCAGTAAGTGCTTTGCAGTTTTTAGAATAACAAATATTAATTAACCATGGAAAAACTAGTCTGTGCCAGCACGAAAATCGTTCAGATGCAGGTAACCGTTAGGGGATTATGCATGCGCCTCTTGGATAAAATACAGTTTTTGTTTTCATTGAAATTACAGATGCCGCAGTTGGCGTCCGCGGGAATGCGTTTGTTGTGTCCAGGCTTACAGAATGCACTTCAAGTGCAGCAAGTGCGACATCGACAGACTAAGCACTGGAAGCCTGAGTTTAAGCGCTTGCGCAGGCAAAAATTTATAAAAATTGAGCTGCCCAACTTGCGTGAGAAGCCGCAAGATATAAGCAAGGAGGAAATGCGTAGCCGTATGAAAGAACGTGGTGTATTGCCGCCGCGTCCGTGGATGGAACGTCCGTTTCACATAAGCTGTACGGGTGGCATATTTGAAGCATATGTACCGCCAGAGGGGGATGGCAAAAAGTCAATAATATCCTCTTCGGGGACTAAGCAAAAACTTGAATTTCTTGAAAAGAAATCAAAAAGTCTAATGGCTGTACGAAAGATACGTGCGTACGAGGAGAACTTTAGCAGTGATGACTTCGGTGTACAGGCCCAAGAAATCTATATAGCAGCGCATACGCATATGGCGGCTAAGGAAAAGTATAAGATTCGTGAATTTGTTAGCGAACGTTGCTATCCGGAAATGATGCACAATGTCAAGGATAAGACAATACATTGGCGTTTTCTGCAGTCATTGGAGCCGCCCCGTGTGGTACATGCGCGCGTCACTGAAGTTATAACTAAGGAGAATCTGTTTGCACAGGTCACAGTTCGTTTTCACACCCAACAAATGCTGGCTATATACGATCGCTTTGGTCGCCTAATGCACGGCAGTGAGATTGTTACCAAGGATGTGTTGGAGTATGTTGTCTTTGAGAAGCACATTTCCAATGAATACGGCAAATGGCGGTTGCATGACAAAATCATTCCCGATTGGCTGCCAGCAAAGCAGCCAGCTCCCATTACGTATCGCATCACAGACGAGATTGTCGAGGAAGCGCCCAAGGAGCTTAGCGGTGGCGAGCAGACAAAGCAACTGGAGACTGGCAGCAATCAGCTAACGGATATTAATATGAGCGGCTCTCAAACGACGACATCAATACAGCCGCATACGGATGGTCCTAAACCGACCCCCGCCATTTGATTGTACTTTCTGTGGGCTGCCTGGCGGCTAAAAAGATTTAAAGTTGATGTACAACAGCGTTAAGAACACGCGATATGCTAGGCACAAAACACGAAAGTTCTATATACATTTTTATTTTGAAAGTTGTCTTTAGTTTGTTTTATTTACTTCCATAATCATTTTCAAAATCTTGCATATTGTATTTGCTACTTGGGTTCAAGCAGTAATCAATACAGCTGCTTTGACTGTGAAAGAGATTTTGATTGCCGCCACAGCCGCTAAAGTCAAACTGTCTGCAACGGTCGCGTACGAAGTCGTAATACCATTTCCACTGGTGCCCTTTACAATTACCATATTGGGCATCTAGCGTGCAAATTTCTGAAATTTCCGTATAAAAATTATACCCTTCAAATTTATTGTTTGTTATATCGTTACCTTTTCGTTGCTTTGTGGCTTTATCAAGTTTGTAAGCTGTCGCCAGGGTCAGTAGGAGGCACAGGAGGACACTGAGCTGCATTGTAATCCTCATTCTGTTAAGCTTTGAATGAGAAATTCTACATGCAATAGGTCTTTATATATGAGAGAGTAGGGAAATAAAAATATAATTAAAATGTGTTTTGAAATATGCAACGGTTGGTCAGCAGGTCGTTATTTTAAATAACAAAAAGCTATTTGAGGCTTTTTATACCCTGAACCCATTAAAAATGGGTATAAGGGTATATTGTATTTGTGCGAAATCCAACTGTATGTAACAGGCAGAAGGAAGCATCTCCGACCCCATAATGTATATATATTCTTGATCAGCACCAATAGCCGAGTCGATCTAGCCATGTCCGTCTGTCTGTCTGTCCGTATGTATGAAAGCTAGGATTTCAGAACCTATAAGAGCTAGAGTAATTTTAGATGTAGGTGTTTCCGCTAGTCGATAACTTACTCCGTTTGCAAGAAATCGATAAAATCGATGTCAATATCCTGTTTTTTGGGCAATTTTGGTAAATAACAAGAGCTAGAGTCACCAAACTTGACATATAGCTTCTATAGAATATATATATGCATTTGATGTTGGAAGAGGAGGGTACAGGGTATCCCCTAGTCGGGAGGTCCTGACTAGAACCTCTTACTTGTTAAATATTATAATTGGGTATATTAGTCCCTATGTTTGAATGACGATTTCGACTAACTATGTGAACCAGTACTATTTCAAATATAGTTTGATAATTGATAAACGAAATGAACAATAACGTATAAAGAGAAATGTATATAATAAAGCCTATTTCGTATTCAAAATTGGACAAAGTATTGAAACCAGATGCTTTAAAAATATTTACACAAATACATATGTGTGGTCAACGTGTGTGTAAGCACAAATTGTAATTAGCTAAGAACTTATGGCAATATAGATATATATAGGCATTTATTAACTCAGTTAAAATTAAGATTGGGTGTAGCTAATTATAAATACACAAGTTTACTTCGTGGAGCAGTTGTGGACTGCCACGTTCGTCATGGTTCCTTCTGATGGGACACTTTAAAAATACAATACAAGTGTTAATAAATATATTAAAAGTATATACAAAGATCAGACAGTAGATCGGTAAGTGGGCTTAGGATTAAACAAAGCTGCTGCTGGGCTCATCGAGGTAGGCACAACGTGTGCTCGCCTGCTCCAGCGATTTGCGTGCTATGTCCAGTGGCAATTTGCCGGCAAAAGACATAGCGTTGGCCGTGGTTGTGGGCGACGTTGTCGTCGTCGTGGATGTGAGCTTAGCAGGCGAGAATTTGTTGCTGTAGTTGCCATTGGGCGGGGCATTTGCCACGCCCCAGTTTGATGGCTTAATAGGCAACACCTTTGGCTTGGGCGGCAACGGTGGCGGCGCTTTGGCAAATTCCTGTAATTCCTGCTGTTCAATGGACGTTGGCATTGCCGGTAACTCTGTCTCCTGCTCCCCCAGATCCACCTTCATGGGCGACTGCGGCTGTTGACCGCGTGTGATAGAAAGTCGCGGCGCTGGCTGTGGCGCATCCACGGTGGTGTTGCTTGCCTTATTAACTGGACTTAAATTGGCGCGCACCTTCCGCAACTTGGAGGCAGCCGCATTGAGATTCTCTTTGTTTTTGAGAAAGTCGGGCAAATCAAAGTTGATCTCTGTGCCGCGCTGGTCCTCCAGGCGCGCCAATTGTGCACGCTTAAGTCCCTCGAGTAGTTCATCTGCAAACAGAGGATTTTAATGTGAATAACAGGCGGAAATAGGCCAGCCGTGTGGCTTCTCACCCTGATGCTCCGCTACTCGCTCCGTTGACTGCAGTTTGACGCCCGCCTTTAGCTTGGCTATTATGGGTTTCTTGGGATCTAAGTTTGGCACTGCCGTTGCGCCTGCCTCCTCGGAATGTTGACTGCTTGTGGATTTCTTTTTGAGCTTGGGCAGCTTGCTGCCTGGAATGTTGCTATTATCGCGTTGCTGGCGTCGCATACGCTCAAATAGCGAAGAGGAGCTCTCCGAGGGGGCTTCATTTGATTTCATGGAGCACATATCGCTTGGCTTGTGTGTTGTTGACGCTGACGCCGCCGCTGCGGCATCCGCTTTGCTCTGCAGCAGCTCATTAAACATCTTGTTGGTGAGCTCGTCCAGCTGGCCCTGGGTCGAATCTGTTGCAAGCGTGGGCAGCGGCTTCATTGGTTTGCTATGCTTCGGCGGCATGCTACTGCCGCCGCCTTGCTGAAAATCCGGCTGAATCAGTGCTATCTGCAGCCGTTGGCCATCTGCCACAGTGACAGGTTGCATCAAATCAAGCGGCGCCTGAGTATCGCGCAGCAGCACCTGCACCCTTTCCATTTGATAGTTGTATTTGTTTAGAATGGGCCGGATAACCTCATGCAGCTGCTTTTTGGGCTTGCTTTTGACCGATATGACCTTGGGATCGGGCAAATCTAGCTTAAAGGCTACTCGACGCTCGATTAATACCTCTTTGCCGGCCAGCAGCTGTGAGGACTGCTGCGTATCTATAGACTTGTTGCTGCCCTGGAACACAACATCATAGTAGGGGTAGACCAGGTTACGTTTCTCCAACAGACGCTCCACCAGCTGACCCACCGTCTCACCGGGACGTGTCTGCACAATAGTTGTGGCCCCATCGGTGAGTATGACACGACACAAGGAGCACACGCTGTCTGCGCTAGCACCCTGTCCGGGCTGACCCGCATCGAAGGACGACAACGAGGAGCGGGAACTATGCAGATCGCTTACCGAGCCACCAGTCAGCAGCGCCAGCAATGGTTGTGGTGGCGGTGCTAATCCTGGTGCTTGTGGCGGTGGCATCAGCGTCTGCTGCAGATCGGCCATTAGTTCGCTGCGATCGCGGGATTTGCTACGCGTCTTACGATGCCAGGGCAATAGACTTTTACGTCGCCGATCCTCGGCATTGCTTGCAGATTTTTTGAGCTGGAAAAGCCAATGAATCAATGAATAGGAATGTCTCAGAGCACATACAATGACTCGCTGCTTACCTTGGGGGAGGCCACTACGTGAAAATTTGTCTTCAGCAGCTCATCCAGATTGGCGCCTGTGTATGGCAGCGGCTGTTGCTTCTGCTCCGCCTCGACGCAGCTCTTATAGAGGTCAGAGCGTATGAAGCGCTGATAGCTATCGAATTTCATCAAGTTAAAAATTTGCTTTTGCGCCGCCGCAAAGATGTCCGAGTCGCCGCTGGCCAGTTTCTCGTCACTAAGATTGCGCGCCTGTGAGTCCACGTTGACCGGATCGCTGCTGCTGTTGGCCAAATGCTTGCCAAAGATTTCTCGTGCCAACGTCACGCGCTCCGTCTCCGATTCCAAGCATCTGTAGCGCTCGCAGGCAGTCCAAAAATAGATGTTCTCCGCCGAGAATTCCTTTTTGAGAAATTCCGCAAAGGTCTGCATGCCTGCGGCATCTTGCAGCATACGCTCAAAGGATGTGCCCCAACAACCGGGACCACCTTGCTCCGGCTGTGGCGCTAGCTCCAGCGCTGATTCGACAACGACGCCAGCGGCAGCTTTTACCATTACGGTGGATGGCGGCGCCGGGGTAGTGAGTATCTGCGGCACTTGAAAGATTGCCAACTGTTGCGGCTGTTGCTTGGGCGGCTTGAGCTCGTCCAGCATGAGTGTCTTGATGTACACATCGTTATCGGAGGCGTTCATGGAGGCAGTGCGTCGCACTAATGGACTGCTGCCAGACCCTGCTTTGGCCACCTTGTCGGTGCGCGACGTGCGAAACGATGATTGACCCCAGGCGCGACGAAAGGGCGATGCATTGGTGGGCAGTGCGCGGTTCTGGAAAAGCCAAAAACATAATATGAATATATTGTTACAATAGTAGATAAGAGATATTCTATGCTATGAGCAGATATCATAGACATAAAGCGGAACGTAATAGCCACTTAAGGATCATCTTTTGCTCTTATTTTCACATTTTTCCGATAGAATGAGATACGTATTGATTCATTTCTTAAATACTGACAAATGCATAGATATTCATGCTATCCATTAAAGAAGGCTGGTTAGTCTAATAATACTATATTTTTCAGTAAATCATAGATTTAATAACGGTTATTGCCGGAGAGAACAATATAGCAGATTTTCATAAATAGCCTCAACTTTTAGAAAAAGAACTATGCTTCCTACATAGAAGTCCTATCTGCAACATAAAAACCAAAAATAATTGTGAATAAAAAAAAAAACAATAAACAAATCAATTTTGAAACAATTCCTACTGTAGGATCTTAAAATAAATAAAAAGCCGTTGCTCAGCTGTAAAATACCCTGTAAAGTGCCGCCATAGAGAAGCTTAATGTGTTTCTTTCAATGGGTATTCCAGGCACACTGCATATGAAGACCAGTACTCAAAATAACTTTCTACAACAATTCTCATTACAACTTTATTTTGACCAATGCTCAGCGCTCGTTAAAGTGTATACATAGCCGTCTTGGAGTTCAAGCACCCCATAAGTTCATTTTCATGGGCAATTTACAAATACAAATTGAGGGAATGTGGAAATGAGGGACGGACTGGCCGATCACGTCTGTCATTATCACGGCCAAGCCCTAAACAGACGACACGATAAACTTTTGAACTTTTTAGTTCTTTTTTTTTTTTGTTTGTTATGTGCAGAAGTTGAGGCTTCAATTTGCTTACGAGTGTGTGTGTAAGAGTGTCTCACTCTGTGTGTGTGTGTGTGTGTGTGACGCATGCAACAGTTGGCAGCCGTTGGCAACTATTGATTGTCTCCCCTTGGCTGCAGCTCATCTCGCCCACAATTCTAATTGTGTGAACAAATTGTAAGCCCAGTCTAGGCATATGTTGTGCGCGCGCGCGTGTGTGTGTGTGTGTGTGAGAGTGTGCGTGCGTACATATTGTGATGAGTGTCGTTTCTGGGACTGCCTGCCTGTCCAATCCATTTGCTGCACTTTGCTGATAATCACTTTTGTCAGATAAACTCGAAGCTGTTGCCGCCGCTATTTATACATAATTTTCATCGTACATATATTCGTTTGTATTCATGTGTATGTCT